TTGAAAAAAAAATGGCAGATACCACGTACAGTGGGATCGATGACATGCGGAGCAGAAATAAGGAAGGTTCATATGCCACTTTAAAATCAGCACAACGTTACAAGGCGCATGGCAGTAGTACACAGTATAGCCAAGTAGAAATGTTATGTGCACTCAGGTATCTAGATAAGATGCAAGTATGTTGTTCATAGTCACGTAACGACGGCACCACTAACGTTTGCAAAACCAGCCCCAGCAGTGGTGGTCATTTAAATTAGGCCATGCCTGACTTTTATGCCAGGACTACCATGTTTGAACGCGTTATTTACCTTCGTCGTTCATTCACATCACGTAATACCAAATTTGGTATATGTGAAGCAAGCGAAACGGTGGTGAGCGAATCATGACCGTGGCATGTATACAAATATAATCATGTTCTTACATGACACGCATGTCACGATTATCGTGTTTGCACCTGTAATATACCTTCGTCATCCATTCACGTGACGTAATACCAAATTTGGTATATGTTAAGGTAGCGAGACGACTGGGAGCGCACCATCAGCGTATGACTTGTGGTCATAACTTACATGACATGCATCTCATGACTTCCACGTTAGGGCCTTTCAGTCATGTTTGCTATACAGTCATGTCAAACCATACCAGTTTTGCAACATATGTTAACGAAACCGTAACAAGACCAGCAAGACCATGACATGTAATTCATAACATTCATGATATACATGTCATGATCATCATGTTATGATTGGTCGCTTATGCTCGTCATACAGTGATGTAATGCCATGCCAATTTTGGTATAGATCCAATCATATGAACGGCCAAACAAAACGGCATAAGATAAATAACTTCTCGCCGACCAGCACTGAGTCATCCAGCAGGCCCATGATGCGGCCGCCAGGTACTTCCTGTCGGTCCCTACGTAGGAGACGCCCGCTACGCGCTAAGCTCGTCCTGCAGGATCAAAATAAAGTTTTTTTTATTCTATTCCATTCCGTTGAAGAATATGATTCTAAACCAGGCCCCCTGCATGGCAGCCAAGTATTCTATGCCACTGAGCCACGCCAATGTTAAGAAGTTGCAGACAGACCTTACGCAGGATTCATGTGTTTCGTAGAACGTTTTAGAGGAATACAATCACAACCAAGCGCGCCACAATTGCGTAACATGTGGCTTACTGAGTGCTTCCAACCCATTACAAAGGACTGAGCCACATTTCTTCATCGTTATCAGCCTCAGCATCAACAAAGTGCACATTATCCCTTAGTAGTGGGTAGTGGGAAACGGCTTCTCCGAGGATCAAACAATGGCGTAGCGGGTGATTCCCTACTTCTCAAAAATTAGGACCTATGACGAATGTGCTGCGCCATGTGCTAGTGTACCTCTATCAGTGGCCCGAAGCGTGTCTTAAAAAAAAGGCTCTTACAGATATTGCTGCGACTGTGCTGCGCGTCCCGCGCAGACCTGGTGGTAGTTTTTATTATTATTATTTTGTGAAATAGTGGTTGTTGACACCAGCGGCGGTGGCGGTGGCGGACGACTACAGTGCCAAAAACGTACCTTGCTGCGACCTCATAACAGCTTTCACTGTAAAAATATTCAGCACTATTTCTGCTTCATATCATTTCATTCATTTTCTGCTTTATATCAAACCCAATGATGTTTCCCTTCTTACTAGATATGCTTATTCTTTTTTGTTCTTCACGAATTATTTGGTAAAAGGGTCGCGACAGGTGTCACGATAACCATAAGCAAGGGTATCACTTCATTCTGCCGAGTGCGGAGCTGCGCCTCGTTGCCATCGCCCACCCCAGCGGCTTCATTACCAGCAGATCGAGGCCATGAATCATGAAGATTACAAGCTCCGGGAGCACCACATGCGTGGCGATCATGCCTATTTTTGCGCTAAGTGCTCCATGCGTCTGTCATCGTCTACTGTGCACCAGGGCTGCAATGTTCGCCGCTTCATCGGGACGTGGCTGGTCAACCAGTACAACCAGTTGCAAGAGTGGGACGATTTCACAGATTTCACGGCGCTATCCATCCCGTTCTCGGTTCATGAGTTGAAAAGCAGGGTCAAAAACAACGTGGCCCTTTTCTTCCCTAACTACGGCGTCATTTTCGTATTCATTCTCGCACGTTTCATCATCGCCAGCCTGTGGAAACTAGCGAGCGTCGTAGCAGTTTCCGCAGTTTTCTGGGCCCTCAAGCTTCATGAGGACGAGGACACTGCGTTCGTTTGGGGCACTGGGCTCCAGGTGAGCGCAGAACACCGACTGCTCGTGGCGGCGTTCGTGGCCTGGCTCCTCTTAGGAGCCGCCGACATGTTCGCCACCGTCATTTGGTCACTCGGTTACGTCGTAGCATTTGCCATGGTTCATGCTACCATGTACGGTGGAATGGTCTCGCCCGTGAGGTGGTTCCCCCTGGAGGAAAGTCCTTTGACAGGTGATGTGAGAAGTTTCCTTGAGTGACATGTCAAGACATCTCACTCATTAGGTTATTTTGCTTCGAACGCACCCGTGAAGAAGCTTTTGTTCGAGAAGTGAAGCTTTACAGGAGTTCTAAGCAGTTTATCAAACGTAAGAGAGCCGCGAGACGCCCTCAATAGACCTTTTGCTGTAACCGCCTTGTTGAGAGACTTGTTTCCCTTTCCACAGGTGGTGTGTAAGCGTGTGCGCTGCAGTTGAGTTTTTAAGGAGTGAATTACTGCTTGAAAGTGGAAGTCCTTAAACAAAGCCGGTCGTTACACTGTTTGATCTCAATATATATTGACAGTTGAGTTGATTTCAGGGAATTCCTGAAGTGTAACGAATGATCGCCTACATCAAGTTAGCCTAATTGGTATATTGCATTGCAAGAGAAAAAAAAGTGGGAAGTATGTGTTGGAACGTGACACAAGAACTTTGGTATACCTAAGATCCACTACATAGCGAGAACGAATAACGTACTGTGAGCTTGCTATAATGTTTACACCGATCCTTGACCAATGCCTCCTCAGTAAATCGACCGTGCTGCTCTGTCCTGCGCTTTGATTTTAAATTTCCTTTTTTGGGGGGGGGGGGTGAAGGGGGGGTGCTTCGTGCACTTTGTACCGTCCGTGTGTAATCATTTTCCTTTCACATAAGCTTCGACAACCGTGTGCGTATGCTAGTGAGTATCTGTCGCTTGATACAGTATTCTCCACTGTGTTTGAGAGCTGTTTGTTGCATCGGGCATGTTTAACTGGGTATGTGACACTGGTAATATACCTATGAATTTGTGTGCCGCTGTGTGCACGTGAGAAGTTCGTAAACATGGGGTGTGTGCTGGAGCCAGCACACACACCCTGTTGTAGAATTTCTCATCGCAAGCTTCCATCTCCCCCTTCCTGCCACTCAGCTGCATGTATGTGCTACTCTTGATTAACTTCTGTGACGTCAACTTTGGTCACATGAAACCATATAGACGAGCTAGTTCTCGTGGCCCGTTGGGTGAAAGCTCCCTTTCGAGAACGCCTAATTCATGCATCTAGGTGTGTACTGCCCTCCCCTGAACACGCCAACTTGAGGTCGCTGGACATGAGCCATTTGATGTGAGCCATTTCACATCAGTAACGTAAAAAAAGTAATAACACCGCTTTATCTCATCGTTTGGCTCTAATGGCACGTGATGGAATTTAAATTATCTGATTTGTAAATAGTGCTCATAACTCCTTTTACCTTACAAAGGAAAGCCCACACTTTGGAAAACCATTACGATCCACAGTTGAGCACCCTGCCCCTCTTTCTCCCCAAGGATGTAAAGTTTATCAGGACATCTTGAGGTGCTAGTTAGTTCATTATATGCAGGAAAATAATCACGCTAAGCTTAAGAAGGACACCACAAAGAAGACATGCGAACAGGTCGAGCGCAATCTCAATTGATCTGTTCGTGTGTCTTCTTTGTGGTGGCCTTTTCAAGTTTAGCGCAATTAATTTCCTGCATGGTGTGGAATTGTTTGTGCAAAAAGACAAAATGCCTCTAGAGCAGATGCAGTGTAAGAACTGTCGTCAGTAAATAAACATAACTACCAATTGCAAGTCCATCATATTATAAACTGCTGCTCACATTACAGTCACCACTCATCACCAACTATTAAATGCTCTGACAGTTTCTTCAAGGGAAACATTCTTTCAGTTGCATCATCATATCAACTATCCTGCTGCAGATAAGTAACTTGTGAGCACTTAATACGAAATCGTGAGAGACTGAACATGAATACTGCATTCTCGTTATTCCCTTCGAGTCCTTTCGCTTTTGAAGCTTAAGTGCTCACAAGAACACTCATTGTTAGCGATGCGGTAGTGGGTTTATAGCACTGACAACTGAGCAGCAGCAGTAGAAAAGTCTTCCGTCACCACAGTGCACAAGCTATGACTTGCATGCTGCCAAACTCGACGTCGAGGGTTCAATTTCTGTGGCGGCGGCACTCGGCAAGAGTGGAACGAGATGACTGCGTTTTTATGACCTTTCGTGACCGCAATATAACTGTAGCCTTCTTCTACATCCCTGTCATTGCCCTCTGCTCCTGCGGGAATAAACATGTAGGTCGGGCTAGTTCGCACAGAACTTCGTAGGAAAGCGTACGTGGGCTTTTTGCTTGTTTTTTTGTTCGTCACTTCACCTATATATGTGTTCTCTGTTCTAAATTACGCAAAGTTGAAGTTAAGCGCTTGTGTCATGCCTTCTTTCTTGCTGTACCTGTGAAGCATAACTTTGTGCTTCTTACGCAGATGGTCCTGTAGGAAAACACGAAATCAATCAATAAATAAATTTATTATTCAATCAACAAATCAATCAATCAATCAGCAAATATATTCAGAGAGAAAGAAAGAGTATAACGGCTGGTAATATTAGCTGGTGTCATGGATTAATGCCCGTCAACGCTACTGCCCGTGGTGATCAATCGTCGCCTGCCGCTCCGTTCTATAGCCTTTGGGAGCAGACTGTATAGCGGGTCGCATCCGTTGCCTCTTTCGCAGCTCCCAGCCGAAGTAACGGTGAGCCACCGCCTGCCGAGGGCCGCACGTCTGACGCCGCTCGACGCAGCCGCACCGCGTTCAGCGTCCAGCAGTTGAGTGCCTTGGAAAAGGCATTCGAGCGCAGTCACTACCCGGATGCCTTCGCCCGCGAAGAACTGGCCGCCAAGGTGAACCTCAGCGAAGCGCGCGTACAGGTGAGCTCCTTAAATAACAAACTTGTCTTCTCTGTGGCTCTCGTTCGGTGAAGGGGACAAGTAGCGTCGCCAGGAGGTGGCACACTGGACCATGCCCCTCTCCTCCCTTACCACCCTCCCCCTCTGATTATTTTTCACCATTGCGTACGGAGCACAAAATGATGCACTCGACCACATCCGCCTGGTTAGTCCCCACTTCAGATGAACGTGGTGCCCCCCGAAAAAAAATGTCTACCTACATCCCTGACATAGGCGTATCAGCCGGGGGAAAGGGGGGGGGGGGGGCAAGCGAGGTGCGAGCCTCCCACTGAGAACATTTTGTGGGGCTGAGCCTCCTCATTTCGACAGTGGTCACTCTTGGCTGCACGCTGGGGAAGCCGACAAGGAAGGCGAAGTTTTTTGTCACAACAGTAAACACTCAATTATATTTTTACGGGAGAATGAAAATGTTACGAGGCTATGTTACAACATAGTCAAATTTTGCCAACATTTCCGCTGTGATAATTTTCCTTGCATGCTCTTTGCGATGTGGGTTGCCTATGCGACGCTTTCGCGTCTCGTGCTGTTTATATTACAAAGCAGGCCAGCGCTGAACAGGGGCCCTATAATATTTCATCACTTGTTCTTGCGTTTATTCTGCTGTGACTTGTTGATACAGTTACAGATGCCAAACTTTTTAAAGACCGGTTAAAGCATTTGCTGCTTCTGTAAAATACCTTTCTTGAAAAGGATATATCATCAACACTGCTCTGTCGAAGCTGTTGTGAGCCGATGAGCGTGACGAATCACTTTTGATGTTTAAGAAATCTCGTACTGAATCGCCAAAAAAATGTTTCCGCTTTAGTGTCTGATAAACCGGATCAGCCTTGCTTATGGTAACTTGGAGCCAGAGCGGCAGCTTTGAAAGTGGTCATGAATAAAGCAGTGGACTCAAGCTCAGTGGGAAGTTACAAGTGTGGTGGTTTGGGCTAAATAGTTGTGTTTGAAGAGTGTTTGAGGCCTCTCGTGTTGACACATGAAATGCCCGAGAATGACACGTTGCGCTTTTTGGATTTAAAACTGTTTTTTAGCACACAGCATATTTGTTGCTGCCACGAACCACGCGCGCAGAAACCATTGCTTTCTTTTTCTTCCACTCACAGCAAGCTAGTAAAGCGAGGCATAGCTCGGACCTGACTTGAGAATGCCTTGAACGAGTCGTTCTTTCACAACATCTCTGCGAGCTTCAAAGCTCAAGTGTCCTGCCTTGTGGCTTCAGGTTTTCCTGAGGCATTTATCGCATCTGTCATTGAGTCTATCCTGCAGACCAGTAGAGCAGATCAGAGGCAGGAACAGGATCCGAACAACACGAATACAGAGCGTGAAATCTGTTCCGTACAAACACCAGATATCACACAGGCTCAATAAATCGGAAAACGTGCGGCCGTTCGTGTGCTGCTCTCTGCACCGTCAAAATTTATCAGTCTCACCAAATCTACAACCCCCTGAAAAACTAGGCATCAACTCAATGTAAAGCTAAGCATAGGAACAGGTATGTGGCATGTTCTCGGGGAGTTGTCTATAGGACCCCCCTTTCCTGTGGTGCATGTTATGTCGGAACAACCGGAAGGTGTCTCATTGATCGACTGAGGGAACACGCTAACAATGTTAGCAACAGGAAAGATGGTTTTCTCGCTCAGCACTGCACTGAGTGCAACTGTGCGCCCCTTTTCAAGGACACAGTGACGCTTTATAAGCACAGGGATGAGCGCACCCGAGTTATCGCCGAGGCCGCGCAGATGGCGCGCGAACAGGTGCCTTGTATTAGCAAGCCCTCCGTGTCTCTGTCCGAGGTTCCTCGAAGGTATCGGTGCGCGCAACTAGTTTAGTACTTTCACTTTGACTTTTATGTTTCGTTTCCTTATAGATTTTTCTTTGCTTGTGTTTTTCCCCTTACTCTTCTATTGCTCTTCCTGTCACGTGGTTTTTGTCAGATGGTTTTAATGTGTCCTTTATATCTTTTCACGATCTGCGCAATCAACTCAGTTGGAAGTTAGTGGTCGTCTCCTTCTTGTCCCTTTGTCGTCGTTCTGTTCTCGCTCTATGACTACCGTCGTACCATCAGTAGGAAGCTCAGCTTTTAAGCTTACCCCACAACTTGACCCATCGAACTAGGAAAGAGATGAAAGACCGTGGTCTTTAGTGCTATGGAAGCTTAGTTAAGAGTCGGGCTACTTGGTTTTCACTCAACTTGAATTGTCTTTTACAACTCAAAATACATCTCGGACAGCAAAGAAGCACACACATGCAGCGCTGCTTATTTTTCTCTATTCCTCTTTCTCTCAGCATGTATGACCTCACATAGATATATACGCGCACAAACTACAAAACACCGTTATGCTACAAGTGGAAATATTTTAATAAACTCATGATCCATCTCTGCCTATATGATAGGCAGCTAGCCCACTTGAATTACATTTGGAAGGAGAAACACTCCGACTTCGTGATGTCATGTAACAAGCAGGCAATTTTCTGGCACACAGAAAAGTTTAAATGCCGTATAACCAATGGTAAACAATATGCAGTTTCGAAATTAGTTAATTCCACAACAACACCACTAGTTAACACCACAAGTTATAGTATTCATTTTAAAGAAAAGGGTTGAGAAGTTGATAATAAGTTATACCAGTAATATGACAATAACAATATCACTAACGCTACAGAAACAGTGTTCAGATTATTAGGAAACAAGGCAGCTTATAATACACGCAAGCCGGAATATATGCAAGAAAGTGAATACTTATTATGAATAAATATAGCAGCAATTATTCGTTGAAAAGTCATGATTGATCCCCTGTCATGGGAATCGGCGTACAACACGAAAGTAAAACGCGCCTTTACAGGGGTAATAAATGTTTACTGTACATTGATAGAGGAGGGTTCGACGAAGGTATGTTTTGGTGTTTTGCAGCTATAGCTACGTTCAACGTGGATGTATCCTCGTTGAAGCTTGGTACATCTCCATCCCAATGACTAACATCTACGATAAACTTAGTAAACAAGCTATTGCGGTGTCTGTAGATGTTAACCACCAAAGCATAATCAGATAAAGAGGCGTGAGTAAGGTGAGCCCCGCCGTGGTGGTAGAGTGGCTAAGGTATTCGGCTGGTAAACTGCAGGTCACGGGATCGAATCCCGGCTGCGGCGGCTGCATTTCCGATGGAGGTGAAAATGTTGTAGGCCTGTGTGCTCAGATTTGGGTGCACGTTAAAGAACCCCAGGTGGTCGAAACTTCCGGAGCTCTCCATAGACTATGGAGTCTCTCATAATGATATTGTTACGTGGAAAATAACAGTTGTCGGTCCACAGACACAACGCAGCTCACTCACAACGTTCACTTCTTTACCCTCAGTCCGAGGCACCTTACTTGGGTATCCCCCACTATGCCCTCTTTCAGTCAGACGAAATCACGTAACACGACCCCCGGCGGCAAAAGCGCCGACCCGGCGAGTTTACGGGGCCACAGCAGGAGCAGTGTGGTAACGCTTGAGCCTTGATACGTGGACGATGTCCCTTGACAGCAGAGCGGAAGAGGTTGATGGACTATCAGGGACGATTTCATATGTAGTGTCGGTCACTCGTCTAAGCACGCGGTATGGGCCCGTGAAACGAGAGAGAAGTTTTTCTGACAGGCCTGCATGTCGCGTAGGGGACCAAAGAAGAACGAGGGAGCCTGTTGGAAAGTGTTCGTCGCGATGCCGCTCGTCGTAACGATGCTTCTGCGAGTCTTGGGATGCCATTAATCTGCTGCGGGCAAGCTGACGAGCGTGGTCAGCTCGGGTAATAGCGTCGCGTGCATATTCGGAAGTATACTGCGCAGCGGCTGGCAGGAAGGTATCCAACGGCAATGTTGGTTCGCGTCCAAACAGAAGGTAAAATGGCGAGTACCCGGCAGTGTCATGCCGGGAGGAATTGTATACGAACGTCACGTAGGGTAGTGCAAGGTCCCAATCACGATGGTCGGCCGAGACGTATTTCGATAGCATGTCGGTCAAGGTGCGGTTTAAACGTTCTGTAAGCCCGTTTGTCTGGGGGTGGTACGATGTCGTGAGCTTATGTTGGGTAGAGCAGGAACGCAGGATATCGTCAACCACTTTCGAAAGGAACGTACGGCCTCGGTCTGTCAGCAGTTGACGAGGGGCTCCATACACTAAAATGAGATCGCGTAGTAGAAAATCAGCGACGTCTGTAGCGCAGCTTGTTGGCATGGCTCGCGTAACTGCATAACGGGTCGCGTAATCCGTAGCCACCGCGACCCACTTGTTTCCGGAGGCGGATGTTGGGAAGGGACCGAGAAGGTCCAAACCAACACGGAAGAATGGCTCCGATGGGATGTCGATGGGCTCAAGATATCCGGAAGGTAGTCTCGACGGCTTTTTGCGACGCTGGCAAATTTCACAAGCGTTGACATAGCGACGTACAGAACGTGAAAGGCCAGGCCAGTAGAAGCGGCGGCGTACACGGTCATATGTGCGAGAGACACCAAGGTGACCCGCGGTTGGCGCGTCATGGAGCTCGCGTAGGACTGTAGAACGCAGGTGCTTTGGTATGACCAGAAGTAGGTCGTGACCATGGGGCGATAAATTACGCCGATATAAGGTGTGGTCCTTTAAGGTAAACATGCGAACGGAAGCGTCTTGCGGTGAAGATTCGAGCTGATGTATTAGGCGGCTGATATCCGGATCGCGACGCTGCTCGTCCCCGAGATGAAGCAGCTGGGAGGTGGAAAGGACGCAGCCCACAGAATCAGTGCTCGTAGGATCGCAGTCGGCCACAGGGTAGCGTGACAGACAATCCACATCTTTGTGCAGTTTTCCTGATTTGTACACTACGGTGTAAGAATACTCCTGGAGGCGGAGTGCCCAGCGGGCGAGACGACCTGTGGGATCTTTGAGGGAGGCGAGCCAGCAGAGAGCGTGGTGGTCGGTAAGAACTATAAATGGTCGGCCGTATAAGTAAGG